TTTGTAGCAGATCCTCCCCCAACCTAAATCCAATTGTTCAATCGCCAGATCATCATAGTGCTCAGTACGATGACATTGTGTTGGAAGGCGAGGCTACATCCACACCATCTCCAAGGAGGTCTCCAACGCCGCAGCCGCCACCTCCAAGGAGGTCTCCAACGCCGCTGCCAACACCTCCAAGGAGGTCTCTAATGCCTCCCCCGCCCCCGCCTACCAAGAAGCCAAGTGCTAGCAAGAGGCCAGCCCCGCAAACAAAGAACCAGTCCCCGTCGGCAAAGAAAGCCACCGTGAAACCAAGGGCTATTCCCAAAATAATATCTGAAGAGAAGGAAGAAGGAACTGATGCATATAAAAAAGATTTGTCCAGATTCTATGACAAACTTAAAAAGAATCAAGAAGTAAGGAGAAACCCGGAGAAACCGTACTTCTTCATAGCTCCAGATATTCTAAGAAAAAAGGTGGCTTCTTACCAGCAACAACAGCGGGAATCTCGTAAGCCATCCAAATCAATGTTAACGGACTATGACCGCACTCTCACCAAGTCAATTGAGGCGGCACAGAAAAAGAAGCAGGCAGGGAAAGGAGTTGCCCAACTCGGACAACAATCGCACCAATTAGTCCCCCCGCTAGTTGTTGGTAATGAATATGGTTCGAATTTAGGATTAATGCATCAGGCAAACATACCTCCGGATGTCGATTTGGATCACCTTGGTGAATTTATTGATGAGACTGGTCTTGACCTTTACCAGATATTTGGTGATGGAAACATTGAGAGTGCGGTGGAGGTTGATATTTGGAAGAAAAAATTTGTACTAGGCCAGAGTCTATACAACCCTCAAGCCTTATCTGATCTGGGGACGCAAATATACCTGCTAAACAAGTCGTACATGCAGGCGTCTACCGGTGGACACTTCTGTGTTGGTGTCAGAATTAGAGACGAACATTGGTTCCGTGGCGATGATGTTATGTATGTTGACTTTGCAGAATTTCATCAACTATGCCACCTGACCTCTCTGGACAAAGTTATCATTAGCTGCTATTGCCTGTAAGTAATAATTCTTTCGATCTATTATTAAACTCATCATATGTGTGTATATGCATATAAATTATCCTAACAAGTACTATATATATGCAGATTTACAATGACAGAGCTCAGAAAGGTAGGCTGCAATGAAATTGGTTTTATTGATCCCCATATAGTATTCAAAGACCCAGTTACTCCAAAGACTAATTGGAAGTTTGAGTCAGAGAGTAACCTCATGAACTTCTTAGTGAACCAACGCCACAAGAAGGATATACTCTTTCCCTACAACTTCAAGTGAGTGTTAACAATGTCGATCATCCTTAATGGCTCATATGTTGATTCTAGTTAATTAATGAGTGTTATGCGTTATATCCTATAAACACATGCAGCAATCACTAGATATTGATGGACATCGATCTGGTGAAAAGTCACTTGATAATCTATGACTCGATGAGAAAACCACAACAAGACTATCAAGATATGATAGATATTATCCAGAGGTAATTTCGGTATCTCTAGCAACTATATATACACACAAACATGATGATTAACTATATCTGATGACGTGGCAAATTTTTTATTAGGCAGTGTTTCGAAAACCTTTATTGAGAAGCAACACATGGGAAAATGCAAAGCGCCACTGAATGTAATCCCTTTGAAAGTAAGTCCCCTAAATCGCATCATCTTTATTAATTAAACATATAGCTTTCACTGGATCACTAGATTGGATGACAAATCTTTTTCTCGTAAAGTGGTGTCTGAGGCAGGAACAGGGAAACAACTACTGTGGTTACTATGTTTGCAAGTTTATCAAGGTGGTCTCCCAAAGAACTCCTACAGAGAGACTCAAAGTACGTTAAAAATACACTATATATTCATTTAATTATTATTATTGATTGGGTTACTATGTCTTTATATATATATATATGTACATATATTAATTTATTTTCCTTTAATTCAAACCTGTAGGCTCGATGGTTGGAGGAAAAGATCATACGGCAAGACCAAATCAAAGCAATTCAAGAGTCTATAGCCAGATTTTTTAATGAGCAGGTCATCGATTCCAAGGGCAAGTTCTACTTCGACCCAACAATGCCATGGAAGCCAAGCTAGAGGATGAGAGGAAACTTGTTATATATCACAACAACTGTAATGCAATCTTTTGTAATATATGCACATGAAATAATATAATGTAAATATATATATGATGCATGCATATATATATATATATATATATATATATATATTTCTGTGCTTGAATTGTGTGATTTAATACGTTCATTGTGCTTGAACCGAAACATACTATACGCGCGTATAAATGTATAATTAGCAGCGTACAATACGACTTCGAAAACCTATTTTGAAAAGAAAACAAAAAAATGAAAAGAAAAGGAAAAAAGAAAAAAAAACCTTTAGTCCCGGTTCGTATTACCAACCGGGACTAAAGGTGCGGCCATCGTGGCATGTCAGGAGGCACCTTTAGTCCCGGTTGGTGTTACCCACCGGGACTAAAGGTCCTCCTTTAGTCCTGGTTCCTGACCCGGGACTAAAGGACCCCCCTTTAGTCCCGGATGCTTGCTCCCGGGTGGGGAACTGGGACTAGAGGGGGTTCCCCACCGGGAGTAAAGCTCTGTTCTCTACCAGTGAGAGTGTTTAGTTTGAAGCTCACATATATGCATAGATTGGAATTGTGGAAGAGTAATTACTACTAATGATGCTAAGGTGTATAGAATAAACCTTTGAAGCGTGATACCAATCGGAGTTGCACCTTTAAGTTCATCCTTAGCACCATGAGTAGCTAGACAATCAAAAATACTAAAAACCCTGGGAGATCAACATTATAAGCAAGGCTCTAGTTTTTGCATGATAAACACAAGTCTAGCTACCAACCTAAGCATGCTAGTATTCAAATCATCATTCAAGTTCTATAACTAGCATACACCACACAAGCATGTATATTGAATCTAAAAACTTATGCAATGCAAGCAAGCACATGAATATGCACATCTCAAATGCAATCAATTAAAGTTCATGAGCTTACTCCCCCTACTTATGTGCTTCTCTTGTCCAAGAACTTTGATCTTGTTGCATTCTTCAATGTTGCTCCCTCTTTGTCCATTGTCCATGTCCAAATCTTTGTCTCTCCCCCATGATGCATGTTCATATCTTCTCCCCCATGATGAATGTTTATATCTTTGTACAATCTCTCCTCCTTTGTCATCAATTTTCATAAAAGGTATTCCTCATTTGATACAAAGGGTTGGGGTAGATGGTTGACACTTGAATCTTGCATTTTTTATGAACACCATTTGTATAGCTCTTTAGACACCATGTGTAGGATCTTGTGACCTTAATACCAATTATAGTGGGACATCTTCCCCTATATCCAAACATGGGTCATAGCACTTGATAATCTTGAGCTCTTGTAGATGAGGGAATTTTCTTCTCTTGATGATCACTTAACTGCTGAAACCCCGTACAACAAGACGGGCTTGATATCTCTCAATAGAAGCATTTGACTTGGTTGATGATATAGTGTTAATGGATGAGGTTACTAGGAACATGCAAGGGGATATTACTTGGTGTATGTTGTTTACTGATGATGTAGTGTTAGTGGACGAAAGACAGGCGGGAGTAAATAGAAAACTAGAGTTACGGCGGCAAACCCTTTAGTCTAAAGGTTTTAGATTGAGCAGAACTAAAACCAAATACATGAGATGTGACTTTGGCGGAGTTGTACAGAAGGAGGGAGATGTGAGTTTGAAAGGTCAAGTAGTGCCTAAGAATGATACCTTTCGGTACCTGTGATCGATACTACAGAGGGATGGAGATATTGATGCGGACGTTAGCCATAGAATCAAAGCAGGGTAGATCAAGTGACGACAAGCTTCTGGCATTCTCTGTGACAAGAGGGTACCACAAAAGCTAAAAGGCAAGTTCTATAGAACTGCGATTAGACCGGCTATGTTGTATGGAGCATAATGTTGTCCTACAAAGATTCGACATGTTCAACAACTGAGTGTTGCAGAAATGCGTATGTTGTGATGGATTGGCGGTCACATAAGAATGGACCGAGTTCGGAACGATGATATACGTGATCGCCTAGAGGTAGCACCAATTGAAAAAAAGCTTGTCCAACATCGGTTGAGGTGGTTTGGTCATGTCCAAAGGAGACCTCCAGAGGCATCAGTGCATTAGGGAGTCCTAAGCCAAGCTAATAATATGAGGAGAGGTAGAGGAAGACTGAAATTGACATGGGAAGAGACGATAAAAAGAGATTTGAAAGTTTGGGATATACATAGAGATCTATGTTTAAATAGGAGTACTTGGAAAGCAGCTATTGAAGTGCCTGAACCGTGACTTAGGGCTCTTGGTGGGTTTTAACTCTAGCCTACCCCAACTTGCTTGGAATTGAAAGGCTATGTTGTTGTCGTTGTTGTTCAGCATTTAACAAATAGCCAGAGTGTCAAGTCTGCGCATGATTGAACCATCTCATCCTTTTCTTTTGAAAGGCAAACCATTTCATCTTGCAAAGGCAACAATTAGAGCACAAAAAAGAAGGGGTTGAAGATGAAGCAGATATGTTTAGCAATTTTCTTCCATGCGCTGATATACAATGTACAGAGCTGCTTTTGACACCGGAGGATTTCCTGTTATCAGAACAAAATAGCTTGGAGAATGACCAGCTCAGGAGAAGTTCTCTAAGACTCAAACCTCTGGGTACAACAAGTTCGACGAAGACAATCAGATCACTACCTAAAAGACGTATGATCATGTGAAAGCTCCGTCGAAGGAAAGAAAGTGGCAACCTTTCGTTGGGCCATTGGCTATCAAAAACCATACATCCGGGAACTCTTGAGATACTTTAAAGATTGGACCTAACCCCGTCGTGGTGACTGAAATTAGTGTACATGAAGCTTGACTACTAGGCTTTTGCAACCTACTGGTATCTACGTCTGTTTATGTCAAAACTACACTACAAATCAACATCTGGCAACGGCACCTTCCAGTAATTCCAGTTATTGTAGTCTTCCTGCACAACATTACCGATACTCAGCACAAGAAAATTATACGAGCCACAATGATTGGGGACTGATTGCAGTATTCATGTGCTATGGAGTTGTTATCTAATGATTAGCAAATTTAAAAAGATATATGTAGCTAGTAACCTATCATGTTCATGTGATATTTGGAGGAGACAAAATGTAGCTAAAAAGGAGATTGATGGAAAGTTGGAAACCATTAATTCTTCCAGATCCAACCTATGTGATTGTTCTATTAGGTGTTCAACGATTTAGGTATGTTCTTAGTCTATGCCTCAGGCGGAAACAAAATACTACTCTACTTAGCAGACATGAATTACAACTGACCTGCTCAACCAGAGTTGTTGGTGGAAACATGTCATGGACAAGGGTATGTAAGGAGGTATAAGACTTGACATCAACAGAACTGTTCACAGCCACTTCACCCTGCGACCCCATGGGACGTGATTTAAGAGGCTTATATAAACAGTTAAACACAATACTGCTGTTTACGACGTAGTATAATAAACAGTTAAACACAATACCTTTGGGTTGATGATAAAAATCCCATCTTCTTGTAACTGAGCTCGTCAGTGTCTCTGTTACCAAACCCAGCATAAAATGGATTGTAATAAGAAGGAAATTAGAGCGCCTTAATGTCCTGCCAAACATCAAAACTTCCATGAATTTAACACACCGATCATAGTACTGCTGCAGACTATTAGATCTAAGGGCTAACTTGCATGCAATCACGCCAGAGCATCAAACTAAAAATTGGAATTGCCTAAAAGAAAATTACCTCCAGACATGCAATCTTGAATTCATGTGGGGTTCTCCGTATAACTGAGAAAAGCAGAGGAATATTAGGTCATGCTTAAAATCAGTAACAGCAGCATTATTTAAGCCAGAGGCCGCATTACTGATCATGCTAGGAAAAGACCAGTCAATTGCTATGGCAAATCAAATTGGCCCAAGTCATAGTGAGCAAATGTGTCAGGATACAACTGCCAACAAAATGTTACCTTCTCAGTAGAGTGAAGGAAACAAGCCATCAGGTGAAATTACAACAGGTCCATTGGGTAGTGCTTTCCCATCCTGCAAAATTGGGGGGAAACATCACTTGTAAACTGGATAAAGTTAGCCTGCAGGCATATTGAAAATACCATGTAAAATTAAAGCAAGGCCACTGTGCCACACCCACACAAGTGCCTAAATCAGTAAAGATTAGAAAACCATGTGCTAGAAGACAACATCAAGTGACAATTGTCATTTTACCTGTTTAAGATTGAAGAGGAAGTTCTTTGTGAGATATGCCTGAACAATTGCTCTAGCACTAAGGAATAGTAGTTGATAACCGTTTTCCTGGTTGAGAAATAAAAGTACCCTAGACATAAGCACAACCCCACAAAGGCAATAAAAAACAGAAAAATGGAAGTCTTTAAGAAAATCGTCAAACCTTTATTGCAGAAAAAAGTCGAGCAACACCAGAGTGACTCCAATCTCGTCCAACCAAAGGCATGACCTGACCCAACACATCAGACCTGAAAAATGTAACATTAAGCAACCACATTCAACACTTTTGGCCATCTACAGCAGAAAAGCATGTGCATCAACAACCCACTGCAGAGGAAGACGTGGTAAACAAAGTTTCTACAACAAGATGTTGGATTTAGTCAGTTGTGCTATAGTCCCAGGCCACCTTGATTCGCTGGGTGATAGTTTCAGTGTTCCAGATATAAAGCGATTGTTGGAAATTCATCAACCAACAAACTACAGGCCATGGGACAGTCCCAACTTAATGAGAGAATAAAAAGACTAAAATCGCTAGTAACCAAACAAGGCATGGCGGCATACATTACATCCACCAGATGAAGGTAAATTCAACCATTTAACTTCCTGATATTGTCACCCAAAACATCAATCTGAAGCAGTCTGTACTTAACCAGAAAGCCCATTACACCAACTGATGTTTGTAAGCTACTCAAGCAAAGGGCAGTAGAAGCATACAGGAGTGGATAAACTATGAACATTACCTTGTTATGGTGCCATCCACATCAGATATCGCAATTTTAGCGTTCCATTTCCACAAGTAAATATGTGCATTTTGTCTTCTGGATTTTCATTTTGTCAGAACAGTGGCACCTCCTGGTGTGATGAATCTCTTGCTTTAGTGTATGAATCTTGGTTTAAAATTCGGAAAATCAGAACATGGGTGCTTTCTCCTGATAAAAAAGATGTCAGCCCACGCATTTTATTTGACCGATCTTCAGAAGATGTATACTCTGACCCTGGCTCACCAATGTTTCGAAGAACTGCTATGGGAATATATGTCATTTTTTTCTCGAAAACGCAGGAGAGCTGCGCTTCATTAAATTAAGAAGAGAATAAAGGGCAAGAGCCCAAACAACACCTTACACACCACACACGCCCCAACAGTTTCTAGGATTACACTCGCGCCGGTGACATAAACACACAAGACGACCATTACTGAGTTAGACACTCTAACTACCGGGGAGGAGGGCAATCAGGAAAGATAATCCTCGAGCCCCAGCCATAGACCATAAGCGGCGGTCCTCGCCAGCTAAAATCAAAGCACCAGCTAAGCTTGGAGCTGCTCCATCGAAAACACACCTATTGCGATGGTTCTAAATAGTCCAAGCTCCAAGTATAATAAGCGAATTAACTCCTTGCCTTATCAGCCCATCAGCGGTGCTGCTGCTAGCTTTCTCCCACCAAGCATGGAAGGACAACTCTGTAGGCTGAGGGGACAGGATCTGAAGACCGACCTGTCTGAGCAGATTGAACCAAAATTCTCTTGCGAACACACAATGGACAAGGTGATGGTCAATAGTCTCTTCTTCTTGGTCATAGAGAGGACAATATTCAGGATGAGGCAACCCGCGACGTGCCAAGCGATCAGCCGTCCAACACTTGTGCGCGACCAGCCACATAAAGAAGCGACACTTAGGCGGTGCCCAAGATTTCTATATTCTTTCCCATGGTCCAAAAAGAGTAGAACCCAAAAAGAACCCATCATATGCCGACTTAGCCGAGTATTGTCGGTTGGAGGAGAGCCTCCATATGTGTCTATCCTCAACCTTCGGCTGCAGCTGAAAATCCATCAATAAATCCCATAATTGGAGAAATTCCACCAACACACCAACTGTACGAGCTCCCTGAATGTCCGAAATCCAAGCCTGGTTAGTGAGAGCGTCCTGGACAGTGCGCTGCTTGACCCTCCTCTTGGGAATAGCTCCGAAAAGGCGAGGGGCAAGGTCTGCAATGCATTGCCCATGGAGCCACCTATCTGTCCAAAAGAGTATTTACACCATCTCCAACTATAGAATTCACAGCTATAGAGAAGAAGGCTCTCACTTGCTCAGGCACATGAATTGGGAGAGCAGCCCAAGGACGATGAGGTTCTGTTTTCTACAGCCAAACCCATCTCATGCGCAAGGACCAGCCAAGAGACTTGAGATCAGAAATTCCCAGACCTCCCAGCTCCGGTGGTCGACAAACTTTGACCCAGGCCACCAGACAATGTCCACCTTTTGCATCTTTACGGCCTCTCCAAAGAAAACCGCGCCGAATTTTATCCACCGCTTTGAAAGCCCATGGAGGAAAATCAAAGGCCATAGCCAAGTAAATGAGCATCCCAGTAAGAACCGATTGTACTAGTACCCTTCTTCCAGCCCTTGTCACTAGATCTGCCTTCCAACTAGGTAGTTGATCTGCAATGCGGTCAATAATGGGCTGCACTTGTTCTTTAGTTAGTTTTCTTAAAGATAGGGGCACACCTAAGTATCTGCATGGGAATTCTGAAAGAGGGTAGGGCAGCAGGTTTTGTATTGTAGCAATCTCCAAATCAGCACACCTGATAGGGATCACAATACTTTTCTGCAGATTAGTCTTGAGCCCAGAAGCTTCACCGAATAGATTAAGAATATCCATGGTTGTAGTGATATCCCCAGACTCCGGGCGAAGAAAGAGGGCCACATCATCAGCATACATAGAGATGCGGTGCTGTAAACCATGAGATGACAGGGGCAGCAGCAAACCCTCACTGGTGGCCTTAGTAATCATATGCCCCAACACATCCATTATCAAGATAAAAAGCATGGGAGAGAGGGGGTCACCTTGCCGCAATCCTCGACGATGATGAATAAGATCCCTAGGCACCCCATTTAAAAGCACTTGGGTTGAAGACGAGGAGAGCAGCCCACTGATGATATCTCTCCATAATTGCCCGAAACCAAGCCGCTGCAGTACCTCTAGGAGGAAAGGCCACGACACATAATCAAAGGCCTTGGAGATATCTAACTTGAGAAGAATATGAGGCTGCTTTTGTTGATGAAGAAACCTCGCCGTTTGCTGAACCAACATGAAGTTATCTTGTATGAATCGCCCTTTTATGAAGGCACTTTGAATCGGAGAGACCATTTGCTGTAGACGACTAGCAAGGCGATTAGCCATCATTTTTGTGATTAATTTGGCGAAGCTATGAACCAGACTTATGGGTCGAAAATCTTTAGGCTGATCAGCACCATCTTTTTTAGGGAGGAGAGTAATATAGGCTGAGTTGAGAATGCCAAAGTTCACAAACTTTCTGTTCCAAACTGCTGAAACCGACGACATAATATCTTCCTTTATGATGGGCCAACAAGCCTTATAGAAGCGACCCGTGAAGCCATCTGGCCCGGGAGCTTTGTCTGAAGGTAAGATTTTAATAGTATTCCACACTTCTTCCTCACTAAAAGGGACTTCGAGATCAGCAAGGTCATGTGCAATGATTTGTAACTCATTTAAATTGATAGTGTACTCCCTGTCATGACAGTTACCCAGCAAATTTTCATAGAAATCATCAATAGCTGCAGCTTTATCCTCATGACTAGTGCAAATTTGCTCACCAACGACAATTTTTCCAATAAAGTTCTTCCTCTTGCGGTGACGAGCATGAAGATAGAAGAGCTTTGTATTTGCGTCTCCATCACGGAGCCAACTAATCCTTGAGCGCAGCCGAGCAATTGTGCGTTGAAGGGAAGCTAGAACTAAGCTGTGCTTTTTTAGACTGTTTTTGAACCACAATTCCCCCGAGGATAACTGACGACTATCTTGAGCGATCTCAAACTGATGGAGAATTTCCCTAGATAAAGCGAGCTGGAAATTCACCTGACCGACCATCTGGTCGCTCCAACTCGCAAACCTGTGGTGGTAGCCTTGAATTTTCTTGCCAAAGTTATGAAAGGGAGGGAGCAGCAGGAACCGAGGTCCAGGATGCGGAGACGGCTTCCTGAAAACCATCTAGTTTAAAGAAGGACTCAAAATGAAACTCGCGACGACCACGAGTGTTGTTATCCCTTAGGCCAAGCAAAAGGGGCAGTGATCCGAATCATCCAAAGCCAAACTCAGTAGCAAACAATTAGGAAATCTGTCCTCCCAATCCATAAAGTGCATAGAACTCATCCAACTTCACCAGAGTAGGAAAAACTGCTGATTTGACCACGTAAATTTGCGGCCATGTAGTGGAATCTCTTTGAGAGCAAGATCATTGATAAACCTTCTGAAACGACCCATCATGGCCCTATTAAAAATAGCATTATTCTTGTCCTCAACCTTATAAATTAGATTGAAATCCCCAGCAATCATCCATAGCCCTGGGCAAGCTGCTCGTATATCACGTAGTTCCTGCAGAAAATGGATTTTATCTTCGTTACCTTGCGGCCCATAGACACAAGTTAACCACCACGCTTGCCCATCCTCAACAGCAAACTAAACTGTTACACTGTGATTATCAACCCTCTCGTCTCCAGGCAATCAGAATGCCTCCACTAGCACCAGTGGAGGGGACGACAGCATAATAAGAGAAATCAGCCCCAAGAGCTGAGAGAATAATCCTGCGAGACAAGCCTGCAATTTTTGTTTCCTGAACACACACAAATCCGACCGCGAAGAGTCCACAAGAGACCGCAGAGAGTCTTGTCTGGATGAAGAATTCAAACCCCTAACATTCCAAATCAGAATTTTGGAAGGATCCATAAATTACAATCATGTCAAACGACCAAGAAAAGACATCAGGGGGCTTAACACAGCAGCACACCACCCTCTCCCTCATCCAGATTTTCAGGAAGAGACCAATGGAAAAGAGCTACCAGAGCCTGGAGATGAGCGTCAGGTAGGGGCTGCTCAAACAATTTCGCATATTCATCCAGGGCCTGTTGATCTATACCTTCGTGCTCCTCAATGAGTTCAAGAGTCCTCATTGCCTTCTTCTTCGATCTCCTTTCCAGGTCGTTGAGTCCAAATTCAGACCGGAACATATGTCATTGCAAAGATCAAGAAAGAAGACGGAAATACTTATGTCTTGTTGAATGGGATGGGTGCCACACCAGAAGGAAATGTTCCATTCCTCGATTTGTTTGATATGTATGTTTAGATCCACTAATCAATGTTCTGTATTTTTACTAGAATATAACGGTACCAATATATGCCATGTGTCAATTGATGCAATTGCTTGTTCCTCCCTTTTGTTTTGCAGAAATACTGGGAGTAAAGAACGGATATGGGAGAGCGACAGGGAAAGTACTATGAAACTGTTGTTGCACTGATGTCAGACAAAACTGATGGGGAACTGTCCCTTGATCAGTTAAAGATACTTACGTCGAAAGAATCAAAAACAGAAAACACACAATATTACTTGCAGACTTGGCCAGAAAAGAATCAAGTTAAGATCACAAATTTCCCCCACCCATATCCTCAGCTTGCTTCCTTGTATAAGGAAATGATAAGATACCAGCGGAAGGATGGAGTTCAACTTACAGCAAACTTATACCTGCCCCCAGGGTATGATCCATCAAAAGATGGACCTTTTGCCATGTCTAGTTTGGTCCTACCCTGGTGAATTTAAACGCAAAGATGCTTCTGGTCAAGTTCGTGGTTCCCCTAATGAATTTCCAGGGATTGGCGCTACATCTCCTCTTCTTTGGTTAGCTAGAGGGTATTTTTCTCTTCTTGTTATTCATTAATAATAGAATATGCATACAATATATGTTCCCATTTCTGTTATTCAAATTGTAGAATAACCCTCTGCACACCTTTAACCTTTTAATAAAATTTTTTGAAGGGACTTTTTTTAATCCATCTTTTGCAAATATGTTTTTCTGGTACATGCACACACACTGAATGCTATGATTTGCAGGTTTGCTATTCTGTCTGGTCCAACAATACCAATTATTGGTGAAGGTGATGAAGAGGCCAATGACAGGTATATTTGCTACTTATGATCTATTCCATATCCTTCTGCAGGACTAAATAATTTTGAACTATGCTATTACACCATAGTATATTTATTATTTCAGTATTACAAACTATATTGCAGATATGTGGAACAACTAGTAGCAAGTGCAGAGGCTGCAGTTGAGGAAGTTGTCAAAAGAGGGGTAAGCCTTTGCTACTTATTCATTCACACAAATATGTTTACAAAATGAGTTCTTTGCAATGGCAGCCACTTTTATGAGTGTTTTTATGGTGCACTTTGTAAAGTTCATTCATAGGTGGAGCCTTCAATTTTCCAAATATACTTAAAACATTCTTCTATCTTGAGCAATACCTTCTGAGAGTTGACATGATCCCTGTTCTTGTATTTCTTTAGGTGGTTCGCCCTGATAAAATTGCTGTTGGTGGTCATTCGTATGGTGCATTCATGACAGCTAATCTGCTGGCTCACGCTCCTCATCTTTTCTGCTGCGGAACTGCTCGCTCTGGAGCTTACAACAGGACTCTAACTCCGTTTGGTTTCCAGGTACAGACAAATGCTGTGTCTATATGCATGGAATAGATTTTGAGTCTTTAGTAACAATCTGATTTTTCTACAGAACTAGGATAGAACACTCTGGGAGGCAACAAGTACATATGTCGAGATGAGCCCTTTCATGTCTGCAAACAAAATCAAGAAACCAATTTTACTTATCCACGGAGAGCAGGACAACAATTCTGGGACACTGACAATGCAGGTCAAGTCTTATGCTACAAGCCTGCTCACAGCCTATGAAATATCTCTCTCTCTCTGGAAAAGTGTTAGAACTTTGTTGCTACTTCCTACCATGTTTGAAGGTTTTCCAAGCATTTTTTTATCATATTCAAATTTGACTTGTGTATAGTTGATCTTAGCAAACAGCAACAAGAGTAATATTCCATACACAAGTAGTGCAAGTGACCCAAACTTCTGCAGTGATAGAGGTAGACTCGTATAAAGTAGTGACCCAAATTTCTGCAGTGATAGAGGTAGACTCAGTGATAGAGGTAGACTCGTATAAAGTAGTGACCCAAATTTCTGCAGTGATAGAGGTAGACTCGTATTATAAAGTATAATCACATATGCTACCAAGGACTACAATTTTAGTTGTTGTACCAGGATACCAGTTTTGGTTTCACCCTTCCCCAGACCCCGCACAGAGCGGGAGCTCTTTGCGCTGGATACATCCGTTTTTTTTACCAGGATACCAGTTTTCATTTTGCGTATGTGATATTAGACCTGCTTGATTTGGAGTGTCTTTACCCAGTTGATTAAAATGACTTGTTGCTTCTGGTTGTTTTATACAAATCGTCATTGTTTTCTGTGGAAATATCCTCTATGTTCTCATGATTTGATTTTATGCTTATTTTTTTACTGGTTAGTGACTTTTAGTAATCTGTGTTATTGATCTCATGGTTTGTCCTTTTTCTTTTTGCAGTCAGACCGATTCTTCAATGCCTTGAAAGGTCATGGTGCGCTATCTCGTTTGGTCATACTTCCTTTTGAGAGCCATGGGTACTCTGCTAGGGAGAGTATTATGCACGTCTAGGGTTGAAAGCGGTCGAACTCGGTCGGGATAACCCCAATATTGTTTTCACTTTTACATTTCAATACAAAAACGAAATCGAATTCGGGAAGGTCGGAAACGAACACGAAAACGAACTAACGGGATATCGAAAACGAACTAATTCGGTCGGGAACATGTCGAACACGGTCGGAATACGAAAAGCAAAACGGAAACACCGGCCCGTAGAACCTAGTTGAGCATGACAACATGCCAACAGTCCGGTACCGACAGTCCGACACAACCACACATGGTCATGCACAATTCACTTGTACACATACATTGATACACAAATCACCAATTCAGCATGACAATTGATAAATAGGCAACAGGTCTAAATATTTAGAGATATTTGGGCTAGCCAACAGGTTATATTTCAGCAGCACTTCCCGAGTTGCTCGAGTTGCTGGCTGGGCCAGGCTGCTCGAGTTGTTGGCTGGGCCGCTGGCTGCTCTAGTTGCTGGCTGGGCCGCTGGCTGCTCGAGTCGCTCGCTGTGGCTGGGCCGCTGGCTGGCCGCTGGCTGCTCGAGTCGCTGGCTGGGCCGCTCCGCTGGCTGCTCGAGTTGTTTATCAAGCGCTCCGCTGGGTAAGAAGTAAATTCGAATGTCCGCTTTGCGATACGGGATATCCCAAAATAAAACGGGATATGCGAAAACGATCGGGATAGGGCCCAAACCGATTTCGTCCCGATTTCGAATTTCGTGTCCCGTTTTCCGTACCGATTCCGTTTTTGTCCGAAAATACGAATACGATCGGGTTAAATGTAGAAATCGGGGCGGAACGGAACGGGATATATCCCGACCGTTTTCAACCATATGCACGTCCTCTGGGAGACCGATAGGTGGCTGCAGAACTACTGTGTAAACGGTACTAGCAAGGTTGACTCAGTGTCAGAGGCTGACAGTGAAAACAAAACATTGTCAGCTAGTGGTGGCAGTGCAGCCCGTGAAGGTCTAAACCCTGAGGGACTCTCATCATTACCACGATCGCTTCTGTGGTAAGTTTTTTCCTTGCTTGCTGCTTCTCATGAAGAAAAAAGATACACTTGTTTGTCTGTTGGGTTAATTGGCGCTCCTGATATTGTCACACTTGTTTGTCTGTTGGGTTAATTGGCGCTCCTGAGATTGTCTTACATAGGATTTATGATACCTGCTTTGAAGCTCATTGTACAGACTATGAAATAAATTTCTCATCCGCTTAATTATCTTATATCAAAGTTTCCACACGGAGCAGGCTGCTAACAATTTTGTCTTAAATCTCTTAATTACTGTGCAAATGCATGTAATCGTGTAAACAAACTTTTGTTGTGATGCATTTTAAAAATTAAGCATGTCAATACTAAATGATAATAAAAGAAATGGTTTCAGTTTCAGTAACTTGTTAGTTTTATTTTGTGCAGCTTATAGAGGAGTGTTTAATGGTTGAATTGTGCATCCATCTGCATGAACTTGTATACTTTTCTCAATATGTATCCTTCATAAAAAATATGATAACACCTTGATTTCGTACAGATCAACTTTCTTCAGTTGGTGTTCATGAAACATTATCTGGACAACTGACAGCAAGCCTAAAGGGAAAAATAAAGTGTATCGTTACACTTGTGCCAGAACTGGTGCTCCTTACCGTCTACCAGGGATGGCTTGATTGGCATCATATTTGTTTGGATTTCTGCAAGTGATCATGTTACTGACATGTAGGAGCCTCCTCCCCACAACAACCAAAAAAAAAAAGGTATAGGCAAGGCCTAGTTCCTGGTGGCCACTGCACCGAGATATATCTGGGTCAATTTGTATTCAATTGTTAGTGGCCAATGAAACTGTAATTCTTGCGATTAATAACTTGTACAGGAATGTAGCCTTTTGCAGTTTTGATCCCATCTCTTGCACTTGGTGGCGAACTGATATATTGCTATTCTTGGACAGCAAACAAAAATAAATTAATAAATAATGGAACTCTGCTTATCATGTACTCCGATGTCTTGGCATCGTCGCATTTTACCTGCTACCAGCTTTACTGCAGCTATTGTACTGACATTCATTGCCCATTTGAGAGGCGCGGGACAGAGCAGCCAAACTCATGGAGGAGCGAGAGGATAAGAGTAACAATGGAGTTCGCAATGATGTGTATCACTAGGCATTTCTTAGTTCCTTTAGCAACAAAATCGGGAGATGACTTTATTTACTCAGTGGGGCATCACTGGGGGCAAAAAAATCAGTGTAATTACACTGGCGCACATTGCAGCACTTTCCAGTTGCTAACTAAGCACATCATATTGCCTGTATCTTCTCGAAGTATACAGGACAGGCAACCGATACGCCTGAAGCGCCGGTGCTTGTGTATGACCTCCTGGTCTCCTGTACGAGTCACGCCGTATGATTGTGTTTGTTAGCTTGCTAGGTGTTGACACTTAAATTGGGCCTAAGCCAATTTAAATAAGCCCATGACAATTTTGACCCAATCTAATGAAAAATTCATAAAGCGATATGATAATAGTACCACATTGGTTTTTCTTTGGGATAAGACCACCCCTACCCCTTATAAAATAAGGGGTACATGGCCGATTGAGTTCCCATCTATCTAATCGTCATACAAACTAATCTATCAACTCCTTATGCTCTAATTCCCCTCTCTCAACCTCTCTTGCTGTTCGTTGAGTTTCCCAGCGAGATTCAGTGGCATCCTAGGCGGCCTTGCTGGTCATATGAGATCCTCCACGTGCACCTCCCTGACGCGTCTTCCCGGGAGAAGTTTGGGAGCTTTTTCGGTTAAGAACAGGTTCTACATCGGTCTTTAGATTGGTTTGATCGATTACGCCGCGTTCTTGTTGCGTTGCAGGTTGTGTGCAACCTCTTTGGGCGTCCAAGGCCCTGCTGGTGTGTTGGTTTGGGATCATCCTCAACGTCAACATACTTTTTGGCGACTCCATTGGAGAAAGCGAAGTGAATCAAGAATCAATCTACTAGCAACATGGGAGGCAACGATGGTGCTGCCACCGACAAAGGTGACAAGACCAGCCCCTTCAATGAGGCTAATATGATCTTTCCTCAATCCATGGACGAGCTTCCAGATGAGTTGTTCTAGAAGCTTCAGGCCAAGCTCGATGCCGATGTCAAGGCTTTCTTGGAGAGTTGCACCAAGAATCGGCACGACAAGGTCACTTAGTTCCGTGAACCCTCCTACGGCGATGCTATCGCTTCCGAATCTTCAGGCGCCGAGGAGAAGGGCAACGAAAAAGCTAAGTATGACGAGGAGGTAAATACTTATGCTTATCCTACTCATGACAATTTTGCTCAGATGTTGATAGACGAAAGAAAATTGCATAGTAATAACATTCAGCATCTTTCTAATCTACTTCAAGCATGTATGGATAAGTTAGAGGGCAAGACAACCGATTGTGATCAATCGGGTGCCGTGCAGCAACCTCAATTCGGCATGCCTTTGAATTTTTATGAAAATCAAACCTCTCATGCTTCCGCTAGCCAATTTCAATCGGCCCCTTCGGCATCTGAAACCGATAAGGCCAGTCAACCTGATGCTAGCACATCTACACGTACAGGTGTTGGTGCACAAAGTTTGGGTCGAGCTCTTCAAACCGATTATGGAGCATCAACAAATAGAGCTTCAGCGGGGCATAATGTTTTACCAAACCCACCGAAGTCACCTAGTCAAATTCCTACATTTAATGTTACTCCTAATGCTCCTACTACCGATTTTGATGATGCTTTGAATCAGTTTAAGGATGAATTGGCTAAATCTCTTGAGAGTAGTTTAGGAGTGCAACTTAAATCTAGTACGAATACTTATCAAAAGTCGTACCCTTCTACTTATGATTTCATGAAAGCACCTGATGGGTGGAGGGTACCTGACTTCCAGAAATTTAGTGGCGATGATAGTAAATCAACTATGGAGCATATTAGCATGTTTCTTGCACAATTGGGTTAAGCTAGTGCTTATGATTTTATGAAAGTTCATAATTTTCCTTTATCTCTTACTGGCACAGCTTTTACATGGTTTACTTCATTACCATCTTGTTCTATTGGTTCATGGGCTGAATTAGAAGATAAATTTCATAATCACTTTTATAGCGGTGCTCATGAAACAAGAGTGTCTCATCTTGCATCGGTTTGTCAAGGGCGTGATGAGTCCATCCATGATTTTTTCAAATGATTTAGAGAGATTAAGAACCGATGTTTTCATTTAAATATTTCTGAAAGAGATTTAACTGATTTATGTTTTGCTAGTTTACGTTCTAGTATTAGAGAAAAGCTTGAGCATTATGAGTTTCACAATGTTAATCAACTTATGCAAAAGGCCGTTTCAATTGAATCGCGCTTTAAAGAGTCTCATGATGCTTATAAATCTCATCGTCAGAATGTGCATTTTGTTGGTGATTGTTCCGATGATTCTGATGATGATAATAAAGAATGTTTAGCTGCTGAAATTAAATGGCTAGCAGAGAATAAATTGGTTATTTGTCCTTCTCTCAAGACGATTCATAAAAATCAGAATAAGGAAATGAAATTTACTTTTGATTTCTTTAAATGTGACCGAATCTTTGATGAATTGTTAAAATTCGGTTATATTAGAATCAATTATACATTACCTTCAGCTGATGAGTTAAAGAGAAGGGCTTATTGCAAATATCATAATTCATTTTCTCATGCCACTAACGATTGCAATGTTTTTCATCGGCAGGTCCAATCGGCCCTTAATGAGGGACGATTGAGTCTTACTGCAACGCAAGTTGATAAGACCCCTTTTCCCATGCACATGGTTGAAGCAGGGGCGCCCGCTGTTTTGATTTGTCCAGAGCAAGCCGATAAAGCCCAAGGCAAGAACATGATTATCGACGAACCACGTGTAGCACCGAATGTCGAAACAAATTCGGGGCGCAAAGTGGTGCTTGAGAAGGATGATGAAGGCAAGAACAAGTTGAAGATAACTGCTGGATCAACGTAATATTTGAAAAGGCAGCGGTGGTATGAAACAACGATGGCACAGCAGAGGCCGGCTAGGCCAACTCCACCAGTTGGTCAAGCCGACTCCAGTACACAGCAGGCCCAGTTGGCTCAACCGACTCAAGGAGTTGACTTAGCTGACTCTGCCACCACCTTAGCCAAGTCAGCTGAGTTGACTGCGCTAGTCGGCTTAGCCAATTCCCCTAGTTCCAGCAGCTCTGGAGCCTCCGGTGTTCATGTTTTGCGCATATTTGTTCCATAGCGACCGGAGATTGGCACCTGGAAGACCAATGAGAAGAACCAAGGAGAGTTCGTGAAGAAGCAATGCACCTTTGACAGGCTCAAGGCCAAGTATAAGCAACAACAGGCCAATTCCTAGAATCGGCCGTTGAAAAAAAAGAGTCAACTCCGCCTAAGCGGGAAGGTGACAAGATCAAGCAATTGGCGGTGGTGCAACCAATAGCTCCGTCTTAGAGAGTTGTTCCTCGTGTTTCTCACTGGGGTCCCCGATTCTACCTCCGGTTACACCGCAATGGGTCCTTATGGAGTTTGTGTGCCGTATCCTCCGGCAGCACCCGTGCATAGCCAACAAAGGTGGGGAGATCCTACTGGTTCAGTTCCAAGACCCTCCGTCTTTAGCCGATTGAACAATTATCAATCGAGCTCTAGTGGTACAAGTCAAGATTGTGTGATTACCTCTAGGACTTTGACTCCACAAGAGTCAGGAAAGGCACCAATGCAGCAAGTTTATGTGCCTAAGAAGGTTGAGATTCCTGTCGTTCCCCCACCAAGAGCTAGGCCTCAATCTGTTATCACAATCGGCTCCATGGAAGCTCCTGTCACTAATCATGATGGGCTGATTGTAATCGAAGAAGTTCCGGCATCTAAGCAAGATGAAGCTCCTAAAGATGTTGTTGGAGTTGAAGAGAAGAAGTGCGTCGAAGGAGATTCCAAGTACCGGCAACTTGTACTGCGTCTTGCTTTTGAGAGGATGTGCCGCTATGGATTGAAGATGAACCCAGTCAAATGTGCTTTTGGAGTATTGTAACATCCCTAATGTTATAAATTACTTAAGAAGGTGATCATGTCATCATTATGCATAATCATCATGCATCAACTCATGAATGCATTTCATGTTTATATTATAGCATGCCAATGTTATTTATGGAGTGTTTTATATATTACCTGAAATAATGTTAATACCAATGATTATGAAAACTTTGTTACGCATACACTAAAACAAGTTTACCTTTATGTTGTATGTGTTGACTTGTATGGTTTGAATCAAGTTCGAAATCTTGGTATTGATTTGAATTTCCGAAAACCTAATTTCAGCATTTAATTCTACCCTGGAAAACCCATTTCAAAATATAAGCAAATTTTAGGGTTGAGCCTAAAAGAAAACGTGTAGAGCTTGTCAAGTTGTATAAAGTTGGTTTTTGGAGTTTTCAAAGTTGTTTTATAAAATTTGAAGTAATTTGAAAAGGCGTAAATTCTTGAAATGTCCCCCTTTTGAATTTAAACTTGCATTTCAAAATGTAGACCGAATTTGGGTATGGTTATAAAAGCAAAGTTGTAGAACTTTGAATTTGGAACAACTTTTATTTTTGGAGATTTTTGAGTTACCATGCAATTTTGGGAGTAATTTGAGAAATTAGACGAGTGGCAATTCGGTAATTACTTGGAACAGTACCAGCGGGCAGCTGTCACCGCCGGCGACCTTCCTCTGGCTTCCAGGCGCGCTCCTAGCCACGTTCGGCTTCACGCTGGCGTGGAGAAGGCCACGATGTGGCTTCTTCTTGCTTCCTGGCCGCCCTTTAAAGCTTGTGCCGTCGCCGTTCTTCTCTTTTCTCCTCCTCTGCTTTTTCCCGACGCCGCAGCCATAGCTCCGTCGAGCTCGCGTCGTCGCCATAGCGCATACCAGCCTCGGCAAAGCCCGTCATGGCTCCGCTTGCTCCTTGCGCACCCAGCTGAACCGCCCTTGTAGCTTGATTTAGCCACGAAACGCCGCGCGTTGCTTTTCTTCCTCGCGGCCGGCAGCATCTCCGTCGCATGCGCTTCACCATGGCCGTCGCTCTATGGTGAGCCGCTGCTCTTGCGAAGCCTGGTTCCAGCTTCACCGGGTTGCTATGATGCTCTATGACTGCTTGATTGCTCCGTTTATCCTTTACAGTCGTCGGAACACCGCCATCGACGACCATTGCTCCGCCGTGGTTGCTGTGAACGTCGACCCGATTCATCATTGCTCTTCTGGTCCTGCTCTTTGCTCAATCGTGTTCAGGGTGAGCTGCTAAACCTTCCCATGCAATTTGTTTAAGCTCTACCGGTCTCACGTCGCTGGCGTAGCGCAACCGCGCCGTCGTGGCCGCCATGGCTGGTGTCATGCTCGGTCTAGGCCGTTTTGGGTCTCGCTTGTACCACCAATCGACGCGTAGGGATGTAGGGGACGTGGTGGTACCTTGGCCGTCGCCGGTGATCTCGCCGTCGGCGAGAAATCGTCGGTCAGCGCGTGTAGTCGCCGTGGTCAGCGCGGGAGGTCGGGGATGATAGGTGGGGTCACGTTGTCAGTGACTCTGTGTTTGAAAATGAATTTTCTATTTTTCAGTAATGGATGAATAGTGTATGTTTTTGTTATTTTTGTATAGAATTAATTAGAGCTCCAAAAATTATGAAAATTTTTGTGTGACCTCTCTGTGATGTATAATATTTAATAAAAATATGAATTGTTGATTTTCAGTACTTTTAGAATGTGATAAAAATTGCTCAATTAATTAATAAATGAGTTTCCATGATTTTTCTTGGCTTTATTATTTATCCAAAAATTATGAAAATTGTTTTACCACTTAGTTATCATGTGATAAGCCTTCATAAAAATTTTGAACTCATTTAGATAAAGTTGATTTATTTCATAATTTTGAATTAAATAATTAATTCATAAAAGCAAATAGTGAACCTTAATAACTTAGGTTTGTTTGAATTTTTGGATTGAGTGATGACCTTGGGTCATTAGTATAGAATAATTTTTGGTACTTAAAGTAAGTGTTTGAGTTTATGAAAAATGTTTAGTAATTGTTGGCTTGTAACTGTACCGCGAAGGAAAGTTGTATTCAAGTTAATAACTTTTGCATCCATCATCAAGCATCATGTTTTATATCTTGCATCATATTAAACATGGCATTGTTACTTCGTGTAGTGAATGAAAGCGAGAACGTGGTAGTCAATCAAGTGGTTGAAGAGGTTAATCCGTCTGTTGAGGTCGGATTTAATAATTGTGGAACGTCTCTGGAACCTGACTTTTTCGACAACCAAGGCAAGCCCCGGATGTATTTAAACCTACCTTGTGTTTTACAAATTTATATAGCTTTTGCTTTTTAGTACTGCATTAAGTGATTAGGAGTTAAGTAAAAACCTAATTGATGCATTACCAACCTTGTTTTTTCCATATCTACCTTGTTACCAGTTTTACTTCATAAATGCCTAGTTATGCTTAGCCATGCTTAGACCGATAAAAGTCGGGTGATTACTTGTCACCTATGAGATATAAAAGGGTTTTTGGATACGATTGGTTACTTATGTTATCATGAGATATGAGCATATGGAGTAATAAATCTAGACCGGGCGGACTCGGTGTGTGAGAGCCACAGGACATGGATGTCCTGTGAGCGGGTTATTTCCGCCTGTGTCGATTGAGGCCCATCCGTTGTTGAACTGTGTGAGATGAGACTTTGTAGTACTAACCACATACTCCGGTAAGCCTTAACTTGGTGATTCTATTACGAGAATGGCTACTCGTGCACTAGGAGTGGAGAGATGGCGGGAATAGCATGTACCCACGTGGCAATGGGCTGGATTAGTAGAGTACTGTATTCTCGGGTGGCGTGAACCCGTTCTTGTTTTAGAGGATCTGAGGGTAGGTTGGTATATGTAGGTCGAGGACCTACATATGTCGTGCGGTCTAGAATCCCCAGCTGGGTTTTAATCGGTTCGAATCGTCGTTGCTCCTCTGTTATGGAGACTCAACTCTCTGTTCATCATCGTAGTTAATAACTGGAACAAGAGTAAGGTTTGAGAAAGTGTTGGATATGAAGTTTCATGATCTCATTACGGATCATGTCAGCTTTGTATATGATCTTTTTGAAGATAAAAATGTTGATATAAAGAATCTTGTTAGAGAGCTTTTACGCAAAAGAACTTTGATTATTGCTAAAGCCATACCTTGAATCCCTGAGCCTGCATTCCTGAGTCTTCTCAGTTTTAATTTCGGTTAAGTCTTGTTGAGTACTTTTGTACTCAGGGTTCGTTGACCCTTGTTGCAGGTGAGCCTCATGAGCAGGTCTATTTTGGGCCATGCTGCATGATGGTTGTTCGATCCGATGACGACAAGTAAATGTGTGGCCCTTGGGCAGGGCAGTTTAATTGTGTGTTTTGTATTATGTTTATAATGCCACTCCACTACTACGGTTTGTAATATTAATCGAACTTAGTTTGTAAGATTTGAAATAAATGTTTTGTAAATAAAGTTATTGTAAGTCTTCCGCTATATTACTCTGATGTATCTATTTGAATAAACTGTTGTAATACTGCAATGACTCTGTAATGGGATCCTGCTCGGAAATCATGGATGATTCGGGGTTCACCGAGGACACCCGACAGTCTTCTTAAGTTATCGGGAACATATGCATAGTCGTCAGAGGTCATTGGACAGTGACAGGTGCATGTGGGTCCTATAATTTAGGAGGTTCTGCCACAAATATCGGCTGAAAAGTTTTTAGGCTTCATAATTCATGATAAGGGCATAGAGGTTGATCCCAAGAGGATAGAGAAGATCAAGAAAGCTCAAGCACCTACGTGCAAGAAGGACTTGCAAAAGTTCTTGGGAAAAGTGAACTAGTTGAGGAGATTTATTGCTAACTTGTCCGAGAAAATTATTCCTTTCACCCCTATATTGAAGCTGAAGGATGAATCTGAATTCACTTGGGGGGCAAAACAACAAGAGGCATTCGAAAAGATAAAGGAATATTTATCAACACCACCGGTTATTCGTGCACCTAGGAGAGGAGTTCCTTTCAAGTTATATATTGCTGCCGAAGAGAAGGTAATTGGGGCTGTTTTGACTCAAGAAGACGAAGGCAAAGAATATGTGATTGCTTATCTTGGTCGCCGTCTTTTTGATCCCGAGACAAGGTATGCCCATATAGAAAAATTATGCTTATCACTATACTATGCTTGTGCTAAGATGAGACATTATCTTTTGTTTAGTACTTGTGTTGTTGCTTGCCAGGCCGATGTGATAAAGCACATGTTATATCGGCCAATTCTTCATGGAAGGATAGGCAAATGGGCATACGCACTAATAGAATATGACTTAACTTTTGAACC